CCAACTCACCTTGCGGCTGTCGTAGCTTTTCTGTTTGCGGACCAAAAAGGCAAATTTGGCAGTCTCTTCGTTCTCGGCGGCCTCGACAACGTCGACAGGCTCTTCCGTCACCCATTGGTCCTTTCCATCCTGATCCTTCTTCGAATACAGCGCCTTGGCCTCGTTGATACTTCCCTTAGCTACCGGTGGTCCCTTGGGCTTGTCTTCCGTCACCTGCTCCTCCTTCTTCTGATTCGGCTCTTCAGCCTTAGGTTTGCTGTTTTCGTCACGCTCTCCAGCTTTGGAGGCGGCTTGCTCGGATTTAGACATCGTGACGGCTGGAGAAAGAGAAGCAGAAAAGGTAAAAAGGCACGACTGAAGGGCTGACAAGGGCAATGTGGAATGGATTGAGGGGAGATTTTACGAGTCGGATTGAAGACGGCGGTGGCAGGTTTATACAATTTTCGACGAAGCGCCTGTGGCGGACAAGCTTTGACGGACAACCATTTGAAGGATTTCTGTTGCCTACAAAACTCACCGGCTCACAAGTGGATTGGACCTTGACTCACGGCGGAAATTCCTCAAACTGGTATTACCTCTAGATGAATTGGAATCGTTTCTACTGTCCATTGACTGACGCTGCTAAGCTGCTGCTCGGAGTGTTGATGAATTGTGCCGGAGAAGGAGACTGATGCCTGCGAAGGATTCCAGGCAACCAGAGGCGCAGACGCCGTCAGGGGTCTGAAGGTGAGGAGTGATTGGACTTGGTCATGAGTCATTGAACTTGGTAAAAGGCAACACTGTATGTGGGATGTTGAATCTGGGCCAAGTCGGTGTGTTGCTGGTAAGATCTGAGTGATGCAGCCTGCGATCTAGGGAGACGGAGTGATAACTAAGTGGATCGACAAGCAGTGGTTTGATAAACCAGCTGCAATAAGGCCGTGTGGCCGTGATATGCAAGGCGACAAGGCGGCTCGGCGGACAAGACAGATCCACACGCTAGCCTCTTTCGGCGCATTTCCTCTCCCTGAATTTATCCTCACGTGCTCGGCATTCCAAGGCTGAAGTTGTACGACCAAAGGTGCATGACGGAAGCCTGGATAAAAGTCATCGACAGATCGTCATCTGTGATAACATATGTGCTGAGTGAGGAAACATCTTTCCCGAGTACATCTGTAAGCTGATGTTGTTGTTGTCCACGCCGCCTGTTTCACCGCCAGAGGTTGATGGTGATGAGGTTGAAATGTGGCCAACCACCGTGTGACTCTTTTTGGGGATCTATTCGCCAATACGCCCTCATTGTTTTTGGTCATTACTCATTGATGCATTATACAGAGATTAAAGATGAACTGACTGGACAGCTCTTAGTTCCCCAAGGAATCTATTTCGCCGTAAGCGCAAAGCTCAAGCCCAAAATACCCATACCCAAAAAAGCAAAGGCAATGCAAATGTTCTTGTTGTGACTGAGCTGCAGGCTTTCCGAGAACAGTGACAACGCGACGCTGGTCATGACGCCCGACGTGACGGCAAACATGCCACCATATACCCCTTCAGTTGGAGCACCCAGGCTACTCTTGTTGGCGAGCTTAAACCACAATGCTGCAACGGCAGCTCCGAGTGGTTGTGAAATACCACCCAAGAAGGACGACCACGCTATGGCTTTGAATCTGGAGCCAAGAGCGAGGTATAGAGGTAGGGACATGGCGAAGCCTTCCGTGATGTTGTGGATGAACAATGCCATGAAAACGGCAAAACCAAGCTGAGGATTGGCGTGATTGGTGGCGTACGTAATGAAGCCTTCCGGTGCCTTGTGCAATGCGATGGCTAACGAAGTCTGCAGACCAATTGACATGAATGCATTAGTGGGAACATGATGGTGATGTTCGTATCCACCAGCGTGTGAATGCTCTGACAGCCGACGTTCGGACCCCTCTACGCTTGCATGTTGGTGGGGAGGATGGTGGAAGTGGTGTGTTGACGACCTTGTGCGGTGCAACTCCGGCTTCAAGCTCCCCGTATCGGCGTCCTCAGTCGGATGACGCCCTAGAGTCGACCCATTTGACAATGGATTCTCTTCGATTTCTCCCAGCGTCGACCCGCCGCGTGCTTCAGTCGTGCCGCTGCGCCACGTGGGTGAGCGCAAGAAAGGGCCGTGTCCTGGTAACACAGAGCCTCGCCTGTGTACAGCCTTGAAGCAGTCCTGGCCGCATGGGTCCGAAAATCCCATGCACGGGCCGTTCTCGTCGCAATTGTCCTTCTGACCCCCGACGTATTTCGAAAGTGTCCTCGAGAGTGTTCTAGACATCGCCGACGACCTTCGGTGGGTCTGTGCAGTGTGATATGTAGGCTGGCGAGCTGATCCCTCCTCCTCTGTCCTTTCATGCTGCGGCTTTTTGGGGCTAACGCTTGTGGTTCGTGAGAGTAAAGGTGTATCCTCATCCTCCTCTTCCGTCGGCCTGGAGTGGGTTCTGGATATTGGGAGGCCATTGGTATGTTCATCGTCCTGCGCATGTTCTGACATTTCTTCGGGATTCTTGGCCTCCTCCTCGTCGTGAGTATGATCGCAGTCCACAACGTGTGATGGGATAAAATGATGCAGGGCGCGGGAGAAGATCTGAATGCCTATGACACCTGCCAAAAACAACCCAATCAGGAGGTATGATGCTGCCCGTGCCGAATAGCCCGCGTCTTTGAAATACGTCTTCGACTGAGGAAGCATCGAGTACAGGGCGGAGAACAACTGTTTTGCGGTCAACCGGGAGATCGCTGAGTACCCAGAACATACGTACCATGACCCCGAAGCTGAGGCTTAGTGATGCAGAGAGAAACCCATCACTCTCGGATATCGAAAAGTGTCGCCAGACTGGAAACTGGCGTGCTACAATATCGATGCAGATGATCGACGAGCCGATAACACATGCTATGAAGACACAGAATTAGTTTCCGTTGAGGTCCAGTCTGGGAGAAATCTGCAGTCTACCAATGCCGCTGATGCATGTCATAATCCAGCCTCTGGTATCATTGTCGACTGCCATCTTGCGCGTATTCTCTCCTCTTGAGTTGCAGGGTCAAAAATATAGCATTGTACGGTACAATGTGATCTGTTAGTGTTGTAAGAGATTGCTCATGCTATACTTGAAGTCCCTTAGGAAGAGTCGAAGCTGGAAAGAGAAACGCAGAATGTCGGGTTGGAGAAAGTATCTCCTTATTAGGAGGCGCGAGCGCAGTTACAGCAAGTGGGATGACGAACATTCCAGGACTTCTTTAGAGGACCTTAAGACTACGCACCTATAGGGTTTAGTTGAAACTCGGGGCGAGAGAGGTGCGAATCATGGGCCGCCTAAATCATCCATGCAGTCGGGGCTGGCCCAGGTCTTGTCATCTTCAGCTGCGAGTACAGGAATCCACCACGCTCGGGGCCAAACGCAGGGGTACGCAGATCTGGCGAGCGGCACCTATGATCTCGTTGCCGATTGGCCTCTACAGCACAATGCTAACCAACAGTTTCAACTTTTCCTCTCAAAAGTCCATCTCTGCGATCTGAGAGACGCGTTTGTTTATGGCACGATTTCAACATTGCCTGCCAACAACTGTACATGTCCAAAACTACTATTGCTATCATAGCAGCGACGTCTGCATTTGCAGGCGCGTCGCTGACGGCTTTACTATTTCCTGGCCACCGAAAAGATGAGACTATACCGACTGGGACATTGAATCAGACACCAACAATACCTGCACCCTCAACTCTCACTCCGGTCCCTGTCCCAGTCCCAGTACCAGTTGCTGTACCGGTCCAACCTCCTTCTCCTGCCATCATCCCGCCCGTCGATCCCTCTGGCATCCTCCGCTATGGATTTCCTGGCCCCATTGCCGATACCTTGACCACACCCTCTCATCTCTCTGCCTTTAACAGGTTCACTCGGAACCCTCATTGGGTAGCAGAACATTTCACGGCGCAGTCTCTGCTGCTGAACAACGGATCTCGACGGAACAGCGTGTTTTACGAGGATCTATCGATTCCGCCAATGTTTCGAGCAAAACTTTCCGATTACTTTCGCAGCGGGTACGACAGGGGGCATCAGGTTCCAGCAGCAGATGCGAAATGGTCACAAGAGGCCATGGATTCCACATTCGTCTTAAGCAATATGTGCCCACAAGTTGGAGAGGGGTTCAATCGAGATTACTGGGCTCATTTTGAGGAATTCTGTCGAGATCTGGTTAAGAGATTCCCCAGTGTACGAGTGGTAACTGGTCCCTTGTACTTGCCCAAAAAAGACGAACGGGATGGGAAATGGAGGGTTTCTTACGAAGTGATTGGCAATCCCCCAAATGTCGCCGTGCCCACCCACTTTTTCAAAGTCATCTTCGCTGAGGAGGCAGCCCAAAGCCCAAATGGACCTGTGGCCCTCGGCGCTTTCGTCTTGCCCAACGCTGAGATACCCAACTCCAAGAGCTTGAGTGATTTCGAAGTTCCTCTTGAAGCGGTCGAAAGAGCCAGCGGACTGGTATTTGCCGAGAAACTGTCACCAGATAGGAGAAAACAACTCTGCAGGGAAGTTCGATGTGAGATAGTGGTGCGTGAATTCGACAAGAGTCGTCAAATATCGCAGGCCTCGAAAGGCACGCTTCAAATCCAGAAACCTGGACCAAGGTTGTAACCATGTCACCAGAGTTGAACCCAGCCAGGGGTAAATATAGAATTGACTTCTGGCATCATGTAGCTGCATCAAAAGCTGTATTAGAATCCGAACATCATTCTGATCACTTTGTAGATATACCCCTACCTTTGCTTGGTGGTACAAGAGAAGTGGTCTACGTTTGCTGCATTGACTTTGACAGTGCCATGTTTCATCACTAACAAACGTACAGCACTAATGCCCAGCCAGTCGTTGTGGTGGTGGCTTATTATAGTATTACTAGGTATGTAGGTATGAACCTATAATGTGGTAGGTGAAAATAATATAATTGACCCGGATGACGTTCGATGCACCTGGAGGCTGGGGCAGTCCAGGCTGCCAAGCATGTTCTGCAACTTCATCGCTGGGCGCGCCTGGGTGATCCAGTTCGAGTATTTCCGCTGGTTGCGTTCGAGAACTTCCCTACCCAACGCCAGACCCACAACAGCTCTACTTTCACGATTCAAGATGACCCAAGTCTGTTTGCTGGACTCTGATCGCTTATCTTCGCTGTTACGAGAAGCCCTACATTGGAGTGAAAATGTCTCTTCCCTCATGGTCTCTGCTCTGAACGGATCAATACTCGCATATGCCTACAGGGATACCACGCCATCGATCAAAGCTATGCGCACTCAATCTACCACCATGACTGCAGCTTACACGGTCGCGTCGGAGGATGTTCTAGTGGTTGAGGCACAAAACATGGGAGCCATCTCTGTCATAGCGCCTGTTGCGGATCATGTGCTGCTGGCTGTGACAGGGCCCGAACCGAAGCAGAAACCGTCCCTTGAGAATGGTCCTGAGTCGTCTCAAGAGCATGCGCAGATGACCAACGGAATTGAACGTCATCCAGAAGAGGAAGAGGAGGGCGAGAGTGATATTCAGGACGAGGACAGAGATACACAGAAAATTCGGGAAGACCTCGAGGCTGTAAGCCAGGAACTGACGGGTATACTAAGGGAAGAGCTGGCTGTTATGAAGTGGCCCGATGATATCTGATTTCCTCCAAGACACTGACTCGCTACTTGGAATCTTTGATCAGGAGGTCGCAAACCGTCAACAACCTTGTGCGGAAAGAGACTCGAGCAACTATACTCGGAGGGTGAAGGATCACATCGTCCTGCCATAACCCAAGGCTTTGTACTGCGGCAGAGCCCGGCGCATATATCTGGCATTTAGTGTCTCGCTACACTCTGAGATGATTTGATTATGGCGGCGCCGGCAGCTGCGGCGACAATCAACAGTTTCGGCTGAATTGTGGTCGGCGAACGCAACGGTCCCCGCATCAGAAGGTCGAGACCCACTGAATCCTCGAGGGATAACCCGGAGAAGAGGTTAGTGGGTTAAGTCGGCAGGCCCCTTGACCTGCCGCCTCCCCCAAACCCGTTCGATGTCACGATTGAACTCGAAACTCAATCCTCCACTTCCACCATTCCCAGCATTTTCTACTCTCCTCCTCGTACAACTGCAACCTCCTCGCCTTGCGCGGTACCTTCTTCTCCTTTCCTTGACACTTTTTGCGCCGGTGATAGAATCTCTTGCGCTCGTGTTCGGCTACCATGTTGTACGTTCGAGATCTCATTGCGTATTCTCCTGGCTTCCGCTGATAGCTCCTGCGCAGTGCGATTCCCCCACCACCGCGGTATCCCATCAACAGTGGCTTAATCGCGACAACCCTTGAAACTGCGAATACCCTGACCATTCGCGAAGGGCCCGAATACACATTTCAGGCTGGCGAAGGTAGCTACGATTCTCCCCTTTGCCACCGACACATCTAGTAACAGACGAGCAGGCACATATGTTTTACGAGACGACCTACAACTCGCTACCCCTCCACCACATCCTTCTGAAGCTCCCATCGTCAATCCCAATCCCCTCGCGACCAACGTTGCTCCCCCCACCAGTGGTGTTAAATTGTCTCTAGTATCGCTTAGCCCGAAACAAATCACTCCAGACCTCTACAGAACCACTACCGCGACGAGCAGTCTTTTGCGCTGGAGAACTTTGGGATTAAACAATTCAAAGGAAACAAAAGAGTCCAAGGAGCTCAAGGACGCAAGGGAGTTGAAAGAAATCAAAGAAGTGGAGAAAGAGCCGAGGATATCAATAGAGACGGGCAGCGATAGTAGCAACCTTGCGACATCACAAAATGGAAGCAATAAGTCGAGTACCGTGAAAGCCTTCGGTGAAGGGAATGCTGCTCTCTCTCCCGTCATCAGCAGAGATGGTCTCAAGAGACGAAAACCCAAGAACAACATTATTAAGAGCAATTCCTCATTCGTCTCTCGCGTCATTCCCCACGAATCTCTCCCAAAGAAACTTCAGGAACGAGATCAGCGAGGGACCTTTGCATTTGTCAACATCAACCGGGCTTTTCAGTGGCTGGATCTGTCTTCAGGGTCCAAACAGGACCCAATGACCAAAATTCTCTTCACCAAGGCAAGTGACTGTCTCGTCATCAACACCATGTTATGCTTGCGGAGCTCATTGCGATCCCATTGCCAGTGTTGGTATCAACTAATCGGTCGCTGCAGGCTCACATGTTGTGTCACGATGTCAATAGCATGACCAAGCATTCGACGCACATGGACGTTGTTATGGGTTCTTCTGCAAGCGATATTATCTGGTATGAGCCAATATCGCAAAAGTATGCACGCATCAACAAGAATGGGATCATCAACAACTCGGCCGTTTCCACGATTAGATGGATACCTGGATCGGAGAATCTTTTCCTAGCGGCTCATATGGACGGAACACTCATCGTATACGACAAAGAGAAGGAAGATGCACCCTTTGTCTCGGAAGAGCTGGTAGATGAAGCGATCAGTATCCCAGATGAAGATCAGTCCACATTGGTCATCAGCAAAAGTGTGAACTCGTCAAATCAAAAGGCCAATCCAGTAGCTTGCTGGCGAATTTCCAACCAGAACATCACCGACTTTTCCTTTTCGCCGGACAATAAACATCTCGCTGTAGTCGGCGATGATGGTTATCTTCGGATAATAGATTATCCTCAAGAAAGGTACACAGAGGAATCAATCACTCCTCACATTGCCTTTCAGGATTTGTGAGACTAATGTTACACAGGCTGACCGATATATACTCTTCTTATTACGGCGGGTTCACATGCGTATGCTGGTCGCCTGATGGCAAATACGTGCTCACTGGAGGCCAAGACGACCTCGTCACTATTTGGTCGCTACCCGAACGTCAGATTATTGCTCGATGTCCTGGACATGATTCGTGGGTAACGGCTGTTGCCTTCGATCCATGGCGTTGCGACGAGAGAACATATCGTTTTGGCAGTGTGGGCGATGACTGCAAGCTCCTCCTTTGGGATTTTAGTGTTGGCATGCTTCATCGTCCGAAAGGGGTAAGCTGATTACCATGAAACCCCAAAGTTGATTTGACAGCATGCTTACACAGAACACAGGCGACAGCTAGGACTAGAGGGAGCATCTCATCTCCCTCGATCTCGCTCCTTCGACAACGGACGGAGAGCACAAGTATCGTGAACCGAATCAGATCCGATTCAAACCGGACTGGAAGTTTCGTCCAACCTGACACTGTCGACGAATCCGAATTTCTCAACCACGCTGTTGAACCCCGAGCAAGGACGGCTCAACTACCCCCCGTAATGGTAGGTCTGCAAAGATGCGGCCAGACAAGAGTTTTGCACGGTACGGCTACTGACATTCAATTGACAGTCCAAGAAGATAGATGATCATCCACTGAGTGGTGTCGCATTCGAACAGGATTGCATTATCACGACGTGTAACGAAGGTACGCGCGCATTTTTCATGTGTATGAGCAAGGGACGAACAGGCTAATATTCACATTGTTCAAGGCCACTTGCGCACTTGGAACCGACCTCGAGAAGCCCCAAACAGCAGTCAAATAGATATCTCCGAAAAGCCAAGGCCCTGAGTTGCATATACGAGATGGCGGGAATGTCAGAGCCTCGCTATAGCACGGGATGTCACTATCGGGTGTGTCACCTAATTCGACTACAATCCAGCATAGTCTGGAAGTCCCCGCTTGGCTGGCGCCCGTTAAGAACTTCAAGTGGAATTCCCTAGGGGTCAGCGCATTGGGCATGTCGATAAGAGTGATAAGGCATTCCGCACGAACCATGTGCGCTTTGATGCTCGCTAGAAAACCTGATATTTGCGCGCTGGGGCGTGGAGACAGTTTGATCGACAACTGCTTGTAGAAAGATTTAATGGCAATCGATTCACATCCCCAGCGGGTCTGCCAGACCATACTTGTTATGCAAGTAAACAACGTCTTTTGGGGATTGAGTGTCATGGATGAGGGTACTGGACAAGCAGTAGATGCTCCGTACTTGTATCTACTCATTCCAGGACTGGGGCAAAAGTTAGTTTCATCTAGAACAAACCACATGACGATCAAACAATGACACCATGGGTCGGCAGCAAGCATTCTCTAGCAGTCGCTTAGTACGGGGAGTGCCGGTGAGCCGGATGATAGGGGAGGTTTGATCAACTCCCTTGGGCCGACTCCATTCAATTACCTCAGACTTCTGCAAAGTCCCTCGTCCTTGTAGCTTGTTCTCCATAGAGTTTTGAACGGCACCGTCGTTCCGAGATGGTGACCATAGCCCATCTAACCTGCTAATGCCAATGCTCGAGTTCGGGCTTTGGGAAAGAGCGTGGGGCCGAGAAGAGTATAGGTAAAGTCCTTCCCAAGGATCAAGGTACCATCGCTCCGAGTAGACTTTCCCTGAGCAGCCATAAGTGCTGTCAGAGGAGCCAGAAGAAAATCAGCCAGGGTAGTATGAAGGGCAGAGGGGTAGCCACATGTGCACTTCGTGCAGCCCCTGTGGTATGACGAGGTCAAGAAGGGGGCAGGATCAGATGCGAGAAAGGGGGATGCGATCACTACGAGAGACGACTCGCAGGTTTCTGGCTGCAAAGAACGAAAATGGTTGAGCAGGAGGAGTTTTGGGGGTTTCACATCTGGAGGCCCAAACTCCATATCATGTATTCGGTAATGTTGCTTCTGATTGTGCGTTCGGTGACAGGAGAAGGGAGGAGGGGTGCTTGGTAAGATGGCCATGTTTCCGTGATTGGAATCAGATCGAGGAATCGAGGGCCATTTCTTTTTCAGCCCTGACGATCTCCTGGACGCCCCGAGCACTTTTTGCAGGGGCCTGAGGGGCCTACTGGAGGGTATGCAACGAATGATGATAAAGGGGGCCTACACTCTTCAAAAGATCGTGTGAGGTGTTGGTTGCGACGCACACATTACAGGGCACGTATTCGCAGGCACTGCCCGTGCAGAAAAACGAGGACATCACAGTTAATTTCTCAGTGTCAGATGCTTCGCTCCTGTGCCCTCGGGTTCCGTCCTTGATCCCGGCTCTCTTTCCACGTGTCTCAACACTTTGATGGTAGAGGAGAGTGCTTTACCCCAATTCACCTTTCTGGTCAGAAGAGACATCAGATCGGTTATCGTGCTTCCATTATCGGCCTTGCAATCAGTGCTATCAGACTTATCTCTACTTGGGTGTCAATCTTGCCAGTATCCGCCTGTTCCTGCGCTTCCCGATCATTTCCTCTCGACTACCTGTACCCACGAGCCCACCGTCCAGGTGACCAAGGTTTCGGAAGAGATCGCGGCCTTCAGCAGGAAAATTCGCCAAAAGAGTAGCGCAGCCTCGAATTAGATTGGCCAGATTCAGTGGAACAGTGGTCTGGGAGGATCCAGATGCCGACGGACACAAGCACACCGCAAAGAGAAGCCCAGGATACTGCCAGACAAAGAGAAGGCGAAATATGACGCTGGGAAATCAAAGATCGGCGGGGACGAGAGCCTTGTTACGAGAACTGCCAGCGCCAGTGTTGGCCCCTTTGAGCACTATGAAGGCCACAGCAATCATCAGGGCCAAAGTCAAGCCCAGGACACCGTTGGCGGCCCAGGTGGAGGATCCAGCCCCCGTCGTGAGACAGATAGACGGTGAAGAGAGAAGACTCGAGGACGGCAGTATGGCCAACGCCAATGGACGAGGGAGATCCGATACGACCAACACAACATCCTCTCTCTGGACGACGGCGTCGTCGTCAAGCTCGATACCTGCCATTACACTCACTGAAAGCAGCTATCCGTATCCTCGGCACGACGACATCGAAGAAGCTGCAAGTTTCCCCATCGAAGCACCCATCGAAGCCGAAGTTGTTACAGCAAATGCATCATTGCCAGGCACAGGCTCAAGCCTAGGTTCTACCGCTAACGGGGCCTCGGCGTCATCGGTCTCATTCGCGGGAGCCTTACCTAGAAGGGGCCCTAGAAAGTCTCATCAGCCCACAGACTCTGCATCAGGATCGGCATCTTCAGCATCAGCATCATCAGCGGCGCCCCTAGCACCACCACCGCCACTGCCGCTATCGACTGGCGGCGAGAGAACAGCCGGAGTGGACCCTCATCAGAGAGACCCGCGCCTGATAACAGTAAGTTCCCACACGGCCCTTCCATTAGCCACTCTACCTGCATCATCTCAGCCATTCCCGCCCAGCGCCCCCCCAGCGCCCACCCAGCACGCAACCCGACTATCCACTCTTTGTACCCTTCCGTCCAATTATTCCCTCCGACCCGATCATTATCTTTTTTCTGTCGCAGTCATCACCTCAAATTTCTGTTGCATGCCCACCTGCGTCTGAGTAGAAGCTTGGGTGTATCAGCCTGTGCGATCTCATTGCGCATGCCTTGTTGATTGTCATATGCTTCATTCTCAATCCTTCTCCCTTTCTCCTTGTACTACCTCGTCACTCTCCTTCCAATGTTCTTACTCCAATCCAGCAGATTAGGCCGCTCCTTCGTCTAAACCGCAAGCATTCTCCCGAATGCTCCTCCGGCCGCCATGAGCCAGTCTCGCGCACTCCCTTGAACCAGCGTCCTTCGAGTTCTCCTGCGTCTTCTTTAGCCAATCGTCATCTCCACGGTCTGGCACCTTCCAAATCACAAACCATGGCGCTCAAGTTTCTGAGTGCGCACACCTCTCACTCAGGCTCAAGTAGCAGCGTCAAACACTTCGATATCCGCCTGGACAATGACTACATCGTGTTTCGGGGCAATGAAGACGAGGCTGCAAGTGCCCAACTGTCGGGGTCTCTGGTTCTGTGCCTCACTGAACCTATGACTATCCACCACGTCGACTTGACTCTGAGCGGAATCCTACATATGTCGTAAGTCGAATGATGGTCCCACGGCAATTCCGGCAATTCCTCTTGCTCGCGTGATCACCTTCCAACTAACCTGATGTGTACAGATGGCAGACTACTTCCACATCCTCCATGTCAGGCAGGCGTACCACTTACAAGGAGAAGACCTTTTTCGAGAAGAATTGGACGTTTCGAGACCCAGGGAAAGGCAAGACCGAAATTTTACAACCCGACAACTACGAGTGGCCATTCCAATGCATCCTCGAGGGTTCTCTGCCCGAAAGTGTGGAAGGTCTGAAGGATGCGTGGATTATCTACCGCTTGAAGGCTGAAATCAGTCGTAAGAGGGGGAGGGACATTGTCATCCGCAAACCTCTGCGCATCGTCCGCACTTTGGATTCGAATGCCTTGGAACTTTCCCACGCAATGGTACGAAGTCCTCGTTCTTACATGCATTGCCCCTCTCCCTTTTCTGACCCGCTACTAGTCTGTCGAAAACATATGGCCGAATAAAATCGAATACTCGATTAGCATCCCCAACAAGGCGGTCGCCTTTGGGTCATTTGTTCAAGTTGACTTCAAATTAATATCTCTCTTGAAAGGTCTGGTGATCGGCAATGTCTCTACGCAAGTCAAAGAAGAGCAAGAATTTGTCGTTGATCCAGAATGGGGAATATCCGCTCTGAACAATGGCCTGACCAAGATGGACAGAGTCATTGCGTCGGATCTTTACAAGGTCGAGCCTGAAAAGGATGAGCAAATCATCGACGAAGTTGCCGAAGGCTATCAATTTTCTCGATATCTTGAGTTGCCCAAATCTCTGAACCAATGCTTACAGGACTGTAATGTCAGAGGGATCAAGGTTCGACATAAAGTGAAATTTAATGTTCAGTTACACAACCCCGACGGCCACATTTCTGAACTACGCGCCAACCTCCCGGTTTCGTTTTACATATCTCCCAGTCTACCTATTAACGAAAACAACGATCTGGTTGACCAATCGCCTCAAGCCGGGAGGGCAGCTATTGCTAACGATTTGGCCAATGCAGCGCCACCCGTGTACGGGAAGCATACTTTGGATGTCTTATATTCCGATGTGGATGGCTATCGAACACCCGGAACCGCCCTGTCTACTCCTGGGACTCCGTACCTCCACAGTCGCCATGCGTCCCAGGAAAACCTCGCGAGTCTGGCAGCAATGGCCAATGGAAACTACGTGTCACCAATAGCTCTTCAGAGCAGGCTCCAGGATCTTCGAGTGGGCGACTCCTTCATCCAAGATCTGCGTGGCAACGAAGACGGTGAAATAAGTAATCTATCGCTACCAGCCGATAGACGATCTAGGCGGAACTCGTCGTCTACGACCATGCCTGAAGATTATTTCGCACCACATAGTGCATCGGCTCCGAGCTCGTATCCACGAATTAGTCCTATTGATCAAGGTGCGTCTCCGGGCGGTCCTTCCCATACACCTAGTCAGCCAGGCAGTCTCATGATTTCGCGCCGGACTTCTGAAGAAGAAGAAGATGGTCACCATTCTGGCACTAGGACGCCATTCCCTCAGTATGACCATATGGAGGATCTGGCTCGCGTTCCTTCATACACAACAGCAGTCAAGACACCTGCCCCGAGGAAGCAATTTGACCCGTCGGTATCCCTGCCGACCTACGGAGCTGCTGTTACGGACCCCAGCCCTCCGCCGTTAGCAGAGCCTCCGACCGCCCACCTTAGAACTTCGCCAAGGTTACCGGGCACCATAACAGCGACCGCAAACTCACCGGATTCACCCGTCAATGGCGTTCCAAGAACGTCAATATCCCACCGAACTGTGAGTTCGATCCAAGATGACGAGAGAAGGTTGCGGATGCTGCAACTGCGAGGGCGGTAGAGCCAGCGGCGACGATGCTTCGCATTCGATCGATATTCCAAAATTTACGAAGATAGACGAACGGTTTGTGAATATTTACCTCTACGTTTTGAGGCGCTGGCCCCATGATGATTGATACCCGATTGCGTTTTTGTCGTATAAGAGATTGCCGCTTTCATGGAGACCGCTTTTCCCCCACTGCTTTTCAGCACTCGACACGCAAATTGGAACCTCTTGCATATGGAATTACCACTTACGGAGTCTTTGATGGTACGATCAACGGGTTGGTCGCGTTGGATATACCATGACGGGTAGTCTGGTCTCGGAATAAACGGCACATTGGCACTTGCATTGGTATTGGTATGCTTGGGGGAATTGCATGATACTCATCTCATCAGTATTGATTCGCGTCGCGGTCATGGGCTGTGCTGAGAGCAACGATCTGAAACAAAAATGAAAAAGAGAGAAAAAGAGGCAAACAGCTTTCAGCTCCGAGGATGTCATCGGCTACGGTCACTTAGAGACAAAAGAGAATGCTCATCGGACAAAGTATGGTGGAACACGGTCGGACAGAATATGCCATTTGTATGAGTCTTGACGAGGTAACGGGAAAAAGACATGTATACTGTTGAGAGGTTCCAAAGCCAAACCGAACCAATAGTACAGGTTCAAGTCCTCCTCTCCATCTTTCCTTCTATCTTTGAATCAGGCCACCCATAGACGCACTCCGAGTGCACGGCCTTTTTAGCGTGTAAGAGCAACAATATCGTCTAGAGCGGATCCTGCGACGTTGACCGGCCGGGGTAATGATATGACGACAATGTGGACTGCGGGTTAGATTGTTATGGGCTTGTCCATGACCCATAGCCATGGCCATGTAAATGTGATGTCCTTGTCTGCGTTCAGCGCTCTCACCGTCCACCGCGCACCAAGCATCCACCCTCCTTTCCATCCCAAAGCCATGACTCATCGTACCCTGAGCGTGAGGCAGGGACGATGTCATGTGTCATCCCGGACGTTCTGGGCTCAAAAGCAAGCAAGCAGGCGGGCAGGCAGGCAGACAGCCAAACAGCAGAGCAGAGCAGAGGAAAGTAGGAGTCGTCTCGGCTCTCGATAAACAGTATTGACAAACAAGCCAGGACAGGCCAAGCCAGCCATAGTTGCAACTTTGCACAAGTTAGGAGAGTCGTCGGAATGTATCGGCGCTCCTCTGTCCTGAGGCAAGGGTAGGAGCGACACCCTCGTTCATGAATGTGTTCGCTTGTTTGTTCGTTCCTCGCTTGTTGTATGTGTGTGCCCATGACCTGTGTCTGTCAGTGTTGGGACTGGTGGTAGAAACATCTCGATAGACGTGGGCCATGCCCGTCGCACTCTCGGGTCTCATATTTCTCCTCCAGGCTCCCGGCTCGAATGAATGTGTCCCTGTACTGTATACAGAGAACAACTTTCGGCCACCGGGGCAAGATGGCCGCCAGCTCGATGGCTGGGAAGAAAGCAGCTAATCCCCGTCGTTCTCTTTGGGGTGTGGCTCAAACCGCTCGACGATTCCTGTAGGTCTCCATTCCGCCGAGCTCAGTCCAATCCAATTCGCTCGTGCCGAAGACGTGGAATGGCGTGGTATCAAGAACAAAAAGTCGCGAAGTCGAGCAGAGCCGAGTCACAATTTCTGTAACCAATCTTTTCTGATTCCCTCACCCCTTTCCATGGAGAGATATCTTGCCCGCACAAGGCGTGCCGATAAAACAGGAGGTATATCCCTCGTCTCCTTTCCCTAGTAGTGGACTGTTTACCAATAACACGCCTCCTTGGCCAGCAACTGCCTGAATTCGTCTCCCATAGCGTCGATCACAATCTTCAACTGTTTCTGTCTCTTTCTTGCCCTTTGACTGATTCCCACGTCATCTTCCTTTCCAATGCTCCCAAGCGGCGGCTGCTGGTCCTCGACTCGGATCTTCTCCCCTCTCGCTTCCTTGTTCTTAAAGTTTACAAGCTTTGAACCATCCACGTCCGTCGCGCTCGCCTCTACCACCTCGGGCGAGCTCGCGGCCTTTGGACTTCCTTGTTGACTCAACGGGGTGATCGGCGTGGCGTCGAGCAGCGCTTGCCAGCGCGCGAGGAATGAGCCAGGGCCGGGGTTGGAAGAGACTTCTGGCGTGGGATTTTCCTTGATCTCGCGGGACATGTCGCTTTCCGAGACCATTGTGGGGAATGATCCCGATGTCGGAGTTGTCGTTGACGGCGTCGCATGACCCTCGTTGCGGTCTAGTGGCGGAGCGGGGCTAGATGTCCTTGAAGAAGGCCGACTGGAGTGGTTCGAGTGGTTGGAGGAGAAGATCTTTGCGATGGCCGGGTTTTTGGACGGCGGTGATTTCAAGACGTTCGTGAGCCGGGCCGCGGACTGTTCGTGCATCTTGTCTAGATACTCGGAGTGAGAGTCAAGGATGGGCAGGATCCGGGATTGGGTTTCTTGAGGCAGAGAGGCGAAGAGGGCGTGCAGGGACGATGTCAGGTTGCCGGCTCCGCCTTTTCCGTGCTTGAAAACCTCCGAGTCGTCTCCGCTGGACTCTTGTCTGAACTGTAAGGCTGCTTTCTTTGCCCAGTCGAGGTACCAATCCGTTAATTCCTTGTCATTCTTGGCACACTGGTGCAGGAAGATGTGACATGACCGCTGATGCTTGCGGAGCAACCGGACAAAATCCCCCACGGTTGGTACGATGGCTTTATTGGACTTGTCTGTGTGGATCCTCGCCAGCTTGATCAGGTCTTTGAGGAAGTTTTCGAAATCGGAGAGTGTCGAGGACAGATCGATGGCCTTGTGCATCCGTCGTATGACAGGCTCGTAGGCGTCGACAACTTCCCGGACAGACAGGGTTAGGTGATCAGGAGAAGATTTGCACAGGCATTGGATAAGCTGTTTGCGATCACGAATGGACAGGTGGATCGAGAGGTACTCCAACGCTTGCTTGTGATGGACGTCGGTCAGCTCGGTAGAGGGGGATCTGGTGTCCTTCAAGATGGCCGTTACAATCGAGATGGACTGCGTTAGGCTTTCCTTTCGGATGCGATCCTGCTCTTCTTGTGGTCGATGCACGTAGTCTTTCAGGGCATGCAGCTGCTCCTTGCCCGGTTTTGCGCGTTCTCGCTCGAGTTTGGCGGCCCTGGACTCGAGATCCCTAATATCCCAATTAAGGACCGTGGAGATGATCCTGCGCAGCAAAATTTAGTCAGTATATGTGATAAGTCGTGGGATATAAGGGAGGAGGGGAGGCTGTTAATGCGTACGTTTGCATGAGATTCGTGCCCTCGTCCTGAGACTGAGTCAACCCGATCCAGTTGGTGACACTGGAAACACTCATTTTGGCCAGACCGACTTTGACCATGGCGTTTATCATAGTCGCGACATTTCCGATCTTCAATGTCTGTCGAAGAACCATATAAGGCACGAGTTTATTGGCGTTGTCGACCAGCTTCAGCAAGTACTGGCCTTTGGGAGACAGAATAAGAGTGTAGTGCATAAAGGAGGCAATGCTGGAGCCGATCGGTCAGTATCACATCCGTGGCGTAAGAAGCAGGACCAGGAGTCGGACTGCTAAAGAAAGGCAAACAAACAAAAAGTGGCTCACTTGACAAGCACAAACTCGTGCACGGCTTTGGTTAATTGAGGATGGTCGTCGAGGTTGTCTGTCTCGGCGGTCTTCTGCACCATGTCGTCTAGGATACTGCCATACACGCAGTCATTGAGGAAGTCACGAAATGCACGTTGCAAATGATCTGCGTTGGTGAGGTCGTAATTGGGGTCGCGCTCCCTGATCTTTGGGAAGCCAGCGAAGGTGCCTCTGACGGGGTATTCGATCAGGGCTGATATCGCTGTCGCGAGCGTCTTGCGGCTGCCGATGACGCCCTTGTCGTAGCTCTCGCTCAGGTTGGCCCTCTCCAGACTCTCGATGATTTCTTGACATTGCACGGTCCACCATTTCTCGGGCAAATTGTTCAAGCCCGGCAGGTTCAGCAGGAACTTGGAGACTAGGGCCTGTAGGGCGGGCGAACTAGAGGGATTCGCTGGCTGCGCAGTGAAAGGAGGACCATAGTTTGCAAGGCTTCCAGGTCTTCGAAACTCGCGGATCTGGGCGTAGGTGTCGTAATGGGTCAGGATGTCAAAGAGAGCAGCTGTCCGCGACGGAGACAGAACGTGGGCCATGGTATCGGATGGCGCGGACGAGGTTTGGCGACGGTCTCACCATCTGCCCTGAATGAAAGCAGGGCCTAGGGCAGAGAATCGCTTCGTCAGTATAGCAAAACAAATCCATGTTCAGGGGGAATGGCGATGGGGATCAACGAGTGACGTCTTTGGTCACCTTGATGACCTGAACGTCAAGATGCGGAAAAAATTGGGGGTTGAAATCTCCGTCCACAACCAGCCAATCGGTACAAGTGCAACAGACAGGACTAAAGACTTTGTGGGACTTTTTGACCTTGAAGATCATCGTTTCTCGTCAAACCATATATACAGCTGTTTGTACAATTGCTATTGCAACATCATTCGCTTCAGTCGTAAAATGCTGGGATCGAGAGTACCCGCGCTTCCGTCAACCTTTGTTTCATATCATCTCCTCTCCCGCACCGCTGAATCGTAACAATCGACTGTCTCTCTTCCCCTCCATCCCTGAGCAGAGATCTCGGCTCGGCCCAATGAAGACCTCTCTCCCAGCCGCCACTCGCCGAACATCGCAGTTCCATCCTCGTTTCTTGAGCCATTCGCCGTCCTCCCCTTCCCATAGATGTCTCCTTACCTCATTCACCGAGATTCGCTTCACCTGTAGCTTCTTCACGCCTGTCCCATAAGAGTCTTTTGGTTCCTCGTCCGCACTGATCCAGCACCTAGCCATCAATGCGCGAGCGATGTCTGCTCCACTGTCCATGCTGGCCAAAACGTTGCCGCCAAGGTACCAGGGTTTCTGTGCGTAGTCGAAGGAGTGGAGCAGTAAGGTCAAAGGCAGCGCCCCTGCCAGTCGAACGAGATGGGTCTGGATGTAAGGCTGTAGATCGGACAGGGGGACGCTATGGGGCGAGTAGATGACTGAGACGGCTTTAGGACGGGCGGGAGTGACGGGCGCAAGATTCGGGATGGAGGAGACGCTTGATAGAGATTTTTGGTGGGATGTCACGGAAGATCTGTGTCGATGATGGTAGAGAGTGCTACTTCGAGAGGTTGCCGACCGGTTTGGAGACGACCCTGATAAAGAAGACACCGCGGTTGGAACAGGAGAAGCTGGTGGTGTGGGGAGATTATTGATAAATGTAAAGGGTGCAGGGCCGAGTTCGAATTGGAAAGGACTCTCCAAGAGCACAGACTGGTGGGGGATCGTCAGGATTTTTTGTACCAGTTCCTCCTTTTCAGCTTCGGGATCTGGTCGTGTTTGTATAGCTGGCTGTTCAGACACCGGGAGGAATTCGGACGATGCAGTATTTGATGAACGAGAGAGTCGTGGTCTATGTCCTTTGAAGGGTGCCGCATCCGGGCTTTGGGGAGAGCTCTGAGCATGAGACGGCAGATCCAAAGACACAGGTCGATCGGCTAGAGGAGTCAAAGGTGCCGGGGGACTCGACGGAGGCATAGTCAACGGACTGAGGGGCATATGGAAGTATCTCGTAGTTTTCGGAAGATCCACTGTTGCAATTGGTGCGATACTCCTCGTGTGCGTGGGTGGCTGGTATGTGACGCCAATGGCGTAGTGTACAGCCGTCCTGGAGCGTTTCGCAGGAATGAATGCGATATTCAGCTCTCCCGGGAAGCCTTGAGGCGATAGGGGAGCAATGGGGACTCGCAAGGAGCGCCCGAATTTGACCTTGGATTCATATTTGAGTAGGGCATGAACTCGTGCGGAGTCAAAGTGGTTCCAGCTCTTGATGACCTTTGCGGCGCCCGGTTCTGCCGCAATGATAGTCTTCCCTTCTGAAGGGAGTCGGACGAGAGTCTCCTTGTAACGGTGGTCAAGCTTATTGTGCGACACGATCAGCACGTCGGGCTCTTCAAGATCTGACCAGTGTTCAACGGCGCCCCGGCTTTTGTGCTCAGTCTCTGGAAAACATGCCGTGGGATCGACAGCGGGGTTCTTGTTCCCAGGGTCGATGAGTACCGACACCGCGCCGGCTGCGGAAGTAAGATCTAGAGGCAGAGGGTGCGCCTTGGGAGAGAAGACGAGGATGAATGCATTTGCGGCATTAAGGTGTTTCACAGTTATCGACATGAGATCGAGGAGCAGGTCGCGGTGGGTGGTTTTTACACGGCGGTGTGCGATCGAGGCATCAGCGCATGCGCACTTTGTATATTGGTGCCTGTATGTATTCGTAGGAGGTGGTGCTGAGGAACAAACTCCTGGAGTTGAACAACCTCCGTGGATAGTCCCAGCTCATGATTGCGAACAACTTGAACAATAGTAAGGGTCAAAGGTGGGCAGAGGCAGGAAGCGAAATTCGATGGCTTGGTGATGGTGGCTGGTGGCGCACATCAGGAACAGCCCGTTGTTGCAGCGTCGATCAATGCCACCAGGAATAATTTGTCTAGTACTTGGTAGAGCTTGGGCCGAGGGAAATCAGCCACACACAATCTTACTTGTCTCAGTATCCGCTACCTCGTGAATACTGGGTACAATCAGTAGTACTCGGTAGCTCGTACTCGATGCCTATGCTCTCGTATAGTTCCTCAGATCTTGACTGTATAGATTGGTGCTCAGATAATCCTGCGTTATCCTCACTACTATCCGACACTCACAGCTTATTGGGAAACAATGGCGCATTCCTTCCCCCTCGGAAGAGATTCAACATCTCTTCTCCCATCCAGATCTTCCTTGATGAAGCGATCCCCTTCTCCAGGTCCGCAACCCGTCCGGCTTGAACCAACATCCCTTTGCCGTTGGCCTCCATTCCCAAGCTCATCAAGTACACCACACAGCATGCCACCTCTTGTGGATCGTTAATTGGGACGCCGACCCCTCTCATTCTTTTGGCCCAGTCACTCAGAGATTCTCCAGGACTGCGGCCCGAGATGATGTCGGTCAAAGTGATGCCTGGCGCGACCACAGAGACTGCAATGTCCAGTGTCGCGGTGTCATTCTTCAGTGCCCTCATCAAGCCCACAATGCCTGTCCAGAATGTTAGCCACGCGACAGAACAAAGTCCAACGCTCAAGGACTAACCATGTTTCGCGGCACTGTACAGCGGTGCCCCAGCACTGGCTAAATATCCCGCCAGACTCGCCGTCATGACAATGCTCCCACCTCTCTTCTGGTTGGGTCCCTTCTTCCTAATGTAGTGGATGGCCAGTTTCGCCGTGTCATTGGCCGCGTGCATGCAAATATCGACGGTTCTCCTATCCGGCTCCTTGAGTAGCCCGTCTGAATCCAGCTCATCCTTGAAGAATTGATCCTTGTATTCTGCTATCCCCGCGTTGACGAACACGCAGTCAATGGATCCGAACTTCTTGAAGCCAGCTTCGAAAGCAGCCCTCTGCTGTTTCCATGATGTAATGTCGCATTGTTGATACAGAAAGCGAGGCGATGAAATCAAGTCCTGGGGAGCACTTGGATGAGGTCGAGCTCTGTCGACGACGATGATATTATTGCCGAGTTCGTGGAGGATAATCGCTGTTTGCAGCCCAATGCCCGATGAGCCCCCAGTTATCAGCACTGTGACACCTTTTGGTCCCGTCAATTTGTCACGCGACACCGTGAAAGCTTCCGTGGCCATGCTCGAGTATCTTTGTGGTAATGCTACGCTCGATCTGATATCACGACAACATCCACTTTCCTTGGGTAGGATATCTCTTGATGGAAAGCTGCTCTTTGTACCTTTCCCCGCATCTCGGAGCTGAGACGCGTTGGGTGCTTTGCCTCGGCGTGTTCGGGTATAGGCTGTGGGCTAGCCGCACCAGCCACTTGGTGTGCGAAACGGGACAGACCTGGCACAGTGTTGAGCCGACTGCTCATCCCACCGCAAAGAGATGGTGAATTTTATTAGTGATGCACACCAATTCTTTCGCTGCCTAGCAAGGCTGGGTCACGTGAATATCCGTTTTTGGAACAACAATTTCTCATGGCACCAGTTTCTCGCTTTTCAGCACCCGCATAATGTCTCTTGATGCCCAGCTACGCTGTTCTCCAGGTCCCAAGCTCGCATGACCGCTGTAACACCAAGAGGGTCTTTGCGGAATGACGACTTGGAGCTGCGATTTTGGTGTTAGCTGAATTGTCGTCTCCTGCATTGCACTCGGTGTGTCAGCAAGTGGATAAATGGCATCGATGACATGAGATAGAGTTTCCATTCTTCTGAAGCCGACTTCTTGTGTCCTTGTGAGAGTTTTAGAAACACTTTCATTGTGATACTCCGTCGCACATTTGTGTCCTGTCCGCCCAACCATCTCTTAGAGCCATCGATTCCTGCACCTCACCAGTTTGTTATAAGTCTGCCTCTCTCAATTGAGACTGACCTTTTTTTCATCCCGGTGGTCTGTCCAAGAGGCCGCATGCTGCTGGTTCCATATCAATTCCAAAGAGGTTACTGCTGCTTTTAGTCAGCACACAAGGCTTCCGTTTCAGGGGTGTGAGGGGCTTTGTCGGAAGCCCGATCCACATGGAGAGCAGGAAACCTTCCACTTTAGGAAATTCCACTGTCGGCCCGCCAAAAACAACTCACCGCAGGTCGAATTGGACAACTCGTGGATGGGACGACGTGATTTACCGGCATGCTGGATTGCCGCTCTCTGCAAGGTACGGCTCTAGTGGCTGTTTGATGACATAGGACATGGCCTCATTCGTGTTCATGACCTGCCACATTCGACCTCGTCGAAGATGTCACGTACATGCCTCTAGCCCTTGACCGCATGTTCGTGATCAAAGGTGCAATACGCATCATCAAACAGTTTACTATATAATCAATGCCCTCCTCGTCACCAGATGTAGAGATGGAAGCCTCAGCAGTAACCCTTCGGGCGTGATATCCAGCCACACGCTCCATTTTTCTGCAGGGCACGAAGTATCGAGGAAGTTGTCCATCATGTTCAAACATACGGTTGCGAAGCTCTCCCATCTTCTTTGGGTTTTACCCCTCCTCACACTTGGCCAGCAAGCTCCCCTAGAGCTACCATATACCGTGAGCAATGTCACTCTCCCCAATGGCATTCAGATGTTCTATCGAGAAGCTGGCCCTCCCAACGCCACGACCCTCCTGCTCCTACACGGCTTCCCTTCGTCGTCTCACCAGTTTCGAAACTTCATCCCGATCCTGGCTGCACACAACTATCACGTCATTGCCCCCGACTACCCTGGTTTCGGCTTCACGGTGGTGCCCGACTCGTTGAACTTCACATACAATTTCGAGACTCTGACCCAGACCGTCACTTCGTTTCTCGACGCAAAGAACATCACGACCTTTGTTCCTTACATGCACGACTATGGGGGACCGATCGGCTTCCGACTCGCCCTGCAGCGGCCTCAGTCCATCCTGGCCTTCATCTCGCAGAATGCCAACGCCTATATCGAAGGGTTTGGAGCCACCTTCTGGCCCCCAATCTTTGCCCTCTGGAACGCGACCACGCCCGCACAATTCCAGGCTGCAGCGACCCCGATCAACGACACCGCATTGACCCTGGCGGGGTTCAAGTCGCAGTACACCATCGGGAGTGCTCACCTGGAAAGCATCGAGCCCGAGTCATACTGGCTGGACTTCTCCCTGATGGACGAGCAAGTCGGAAATCGGGATATTCAGATCGACCTGCTCGCCGACTACGGCTCCAACGTGCCTCTGTACCCACAGTTCCAGGCGTATTTCCGCCAGAAGCAGCCCAAGCTTCTGGCAGCGTGGGGTAAGAACGATATCGTCTTCGTTCCGCCCGGGGCCCATGCCTTCAAAAAGGACCTGCCCAACGCCGACGTCGTTTTGTTGGATGCAGGCCATTTCCTGCTCGAAACTAACCTGGCGCAGATGTCGGGCATTGTGTTGGACTTTTTGAAGAAGAGTCTCTAGCTAGCTAGGTAGGCTACTTTGGAAGGTCTGATGAGTTGGTGAGGAAGTGAGTGATGGACACATGGCTAGCACAGTGTGGATCAGTCGGGATTGTTAATACAGGAAGTAATATCGTTCACATGAGAGTATGGGATGCATCGTTTGAGACTGCAGAATCCATGATTTGGTGCAACTATCCGTCTTCCGCGGTGTACATACGTGCTCCTTTTCAAGGCTTCACCAAAGTATCTCGAATGGTGCCCGCCAGGGAACATGTAAATGTGCTTGACCGAGCCCGTTCCTCACGAGGCGATGGAGTTTGTCTCATCCGTCTGCAACCATGACATGTTTATGGCCATCTGTCAATTGTGGGAGAGACACAACGATGCACGTATGTTTTACGCCTGTGGTAAGGCAGGGGTGACACTTACCTGGCTAACCATGGCTTTGATTCGAAGATCCACGACGGTAATCGGCAATTGAAAGCGCAAAGGCTCCGTTGTAGCTGGTGCCCCCAGACAATCGGAGCACTGCAAGGCCGGCGTCGGCGCCCGTCTAGTCAGACCGTCGCTCGTGCCGAGATTGCGATTGTCATAGACCAGTGCGCAGATCGGAATGCTCGTGGTAAATTCCTCAGCGAAGACGTCGATGCCCATCTATTTGACGGCGCCGAAGCCATGGCACATGACGATACGATAGCCCGGCCGGGGCGTAACAAGGACGCGAATTCAACGCAGCCAGCGTCACAGTCGTGACTGAGCCGAACCGATCAAAGAACACGTAGCTTTGTAGCGATTGAAAGGCACATAATTCTTACTCTAGTGTCGCAGCTTTGCAACTATCCGTCAAGACTGCAGCGCTGCCCGTGTCATCTCAGCGCACAGGCAAGATCTCTAATATACAGCGTCCATCAGCCCAGAGGGCAGAGCCCCAAGCAGGTCAGCGTCCTCTCTTCCATTGTATACACCAACAAGATAGCCACAGTACAGCTCTCAGTTCACTCGCATATGTCCCCAGGTCTGGCTCTTCATCCGAATCGGCTCGGTCAAAAGTCCCGCACCGATCTGGGGCAGTCCAAGCTTGAAGCTGCTCTCACCATCACTCCGCTCCGAGAGCCTCTCACAGAGGTAAGCCACAGCGAAGGGAGTGCCGATTGCTTGAATGGTCCACCGATAGATAAACCGATGCGTGCCGTGGGCGCTATTTTGTAGCGATCGTGGCTCTGGGTGGTAGCATCGACAGGCTGGTACACGGACGAATGCCAAGGTGGGGGTCTTGTGGAGGAGAGCACGAGTGCAAACGCGGTTCATGTTGCTGACGATATCGATGATATCACCGTGGAACGGTTGTCCTGAAAGATGGAGGATTCGGCGCAGCAGCTGTGTCTGGGTTGTCTAGATATGTTTGTATGTGATTGTGCCATATCTCTTATAGCCCAATTGAACAACCCTCGGAGACTGCTCGACCCCTCATTCCACTTGGCATGTGGTCCACAGAAGTGGAGAAGTTGCAATGATGATGACAAGCTTTGTCGATAATTATCTTCCCGATATCATCACCCCTACTGGGAAAGTGCTCAGCACGCACATGTCTAAGGCAATAGCTAGCCTTGTGCTCTCCAGGTGCGATCTGACATCCACCCAGCCCACATACTGAACCAGGCGGACGTTGAGATTGGTGATCAACATATACTGCGCGTACAGCCTAGATCTCCCTCATTGAGCCACGCCCTTTCTTTCGTTGCATACTCACTCATTGACCCCAAGGCGATGGAGAGTGCGTCATCCGACCTGACAAAGTCGCCTTCCTCTGTTGTCATCGCCGAAAAAGAGGGACAAATTCCCGTAGCGAAGTCCGTGCAGGCGTATCTCCAGGTGGAAACCAAAAGTTGCAGTCAGTCAAGGTACCCTTATCACACACGAGTCTTGGAGACGATATTTACGGGCCTGTCGGTGGTAGCGTGCATGCCGCAAAAGACCGGTAGCGTTAGAGGGGTTCGAGGCTCAGCGTGGTGTATGTGGTATTGTACTGCCGAATTGGGTAATTCAGAGAACTCGTATCTTCCTGCATGAGGCTCATCTTTGATCCATCACTTGCTTCAGGCAACCACCACCAGTGCACCACGTCATGAACAATATCAATCTCCGAGCCCGCCTCAGAAAGACATTGATCGCTGTCTCCTTGCTGGTGATTATTAACCACGAAAAACGGGCTCCGGGGTCAACCAAGATGAGATGGACTTCTAGCTCCTCTGGTTGGCTTACTCTCCGTCCTATCCAGTGTGTATGGCTAGTTGATAGTTGCAAGCGCCCTTTGGCAGACATGGCGGGATTGTTACCCCTTGCACCATTGCTCTCGCCCACGTTCTCTCTACCCACTTTAGATTCGAATACAGAATCTTGCATCGTCTTTCCTTTACACACCGCAACCGTCTTACATATTCCAGTTCTACTTTGAAAACCAGGACGGACACCGGATTTTTCCCCTGGCCAATTGAGGCTTTCTTGTGAACCGGGACAAAAGGCGTGGAAAAGAATTCTCAGTCGCGTCTCCAGTATAAAGCTCCAGTCCCTTATCATGACCGGACTTTCGAGTATGGATGATAGGAAGCCACCAGTTTGAGCTGGCATCGGCGCTTTTACTTTGTGTCAATACGACGAGTCCGGAGACAAATCAATTGGGCACCCGTCCACCTCCAAAAATGTCTATGACTACAATTCCTGCTCCTCTGGTTGGAAAAGTGGCCTTGGTTACGGGCGGCTCACGAGGCATCGGCCGTGGCATCGCGATCCATTTCGCGAGAAAGGGCATTTCAAAGATTGCCATTACTTATGCTGAGAACCCATCGGCCGCGGAGGAGACCCTCGCAGCGATTGGCAAAGTCGACCCGAGTATTTTCGCCAGAGCGATCCGAGCGGATGTCCTGTCGCCGACATTTGCCTCCGACCTGGTACCTCAGGTGCTGGAGAACCTCTCTACCCAAACCCTCGACATCATCGTGTGTAACGCAGCATATGTCAACCCCAAGATTGTGGCCCCCATCGCCATGGCGACCAAGGAGCTGTTTGACAATCTCATGACGGGCAACGCGTGGGCTCCCGTCCAGCTGTTCGTCATGACCGGCCCCACCGACACCGAGTTGATGGTGATGCCGTGCTGGGCCGAGTACATCAGAGCGAGGCTCCGGGTGAAGCTTTCCAGGGCGGCCTTGGACGCGCCATAACAAACCGCAGGGTCTGCATTCGGCGACTTGGAGGCGGTGCTGCCGCACGGCGGAAAAGAGGATGGGGGAGGTGGACGACATCGCTGGCATTGTTGGGTTTCTCGCTAGCGAAGAGAGCAGGTGGATCAATGGGAACAATGTGCCCGCAAATGGGGGGGCTCTTCTCGAGGTGCAGGGATAGAAGTCAGTATTACACCAGGCTACAAAGATAAATGCTGGTTGATGACTGGCGACATGCCCGAAAGGTGCCAGAGTCAGGAATTATTTTCTATCTAGCAGGCAACACCGCCGTCTGCAGAGAATACAGCTCCTGTAGTAAAGCTTGAATCGTCGCTCAGAACAAAACAAATTGTCTTTGCCATGTCTTGTGCTGTTCCGAGTCGCTGGAGAGGCAGGGTCTTGTAGGTATTTGTGACCGGTCGCTCTGAGGAGCCACCATCGGATAGCAGCCTGTCCAGCATGGGTGTCTCTATAGGGCCACTTTGGAAAGAACACTGTTAGCCTGGGGAGTCGGACATGACAGAAGTCTACGAGGGCCACATAACGTTACTTACGGAGCAAGAGCATTGACTCGAATGCCGCGCTCGCCGACTTCCTTGGCTGCAGTTCTCGTCAAACCAACGACACCGTGCTTACTAGTCGAGTAGGCGGCAATGCCAGGACGACCGATGACGCCAGCCATACTCGCAACATTGAGGATCGAGGCACCCCGGTCCATAGCACGGAGTTCAGCGCGAAGGCAGTAAAAGAGACCCGTGAGGTTGATCTTCATGATAAAGTCCCAGTGGTCGTTGCTGATATCGACAATGTTGGAAAAGACCTTGCCGCCCGGCTTTGTCTCGACGCCCGCGATATTGGCGGCGCCATCCAGACGGCCAAACTCCTTGACTGTTTCGGCAATCCATGCATCAACCTGTTCCGAATTGGAGACGTCGACTCGTTTTCCTATTACCTTGACCCCTTTGGCCTGTATCTGGTCCACCACCTTTTTCAAGGCATCCTCGTTGACATCACACAGTGACAGTCCAGCAGCGCCTCTCGCGGCACATTCGAGGGCCGTGGCTGCCCCGATACCCGATGCTGCACCGGTAATTGCGATGACTTTTCCTTGGAGCTGCGCCATTGTGGCTTGGGGATGGAACAGTTCGGACTTGTTGTTTTCACGAGAGGGTCGGAGGTGAGAATCTGGCAATTTCCTTTTCTGCCTTTGAACGATACAAAGGATCGAGAGCAAGGTAAATCTCTTTAAATTTCTTATGACAAGCTGAATGAGGGGATTCCCAGCCGAGGTCTGTCAGCATCTCGGAGATGACTCTCCGCATCACCAGGCTGGCCCTCAGCCTCGCGCTGCCGAACAGCGTGATAGGCAATGAATCCCAGTGACTCAGGTCTCTAGCTTCCCACCTGGATAGTTCAGTGCAATCTTGGACTTTCAAGGGCTAGAGGAAGAGGCTTATGCACCTACCCCGCTACATGTTCATGGTCAGTATCCGTGTGGGGGGTAAATCCGATGTAAATCATAGAGCTAAGACAGAATGGACAGGGCGGCCTTGGGGTATAGCCTCCCAGAGCGAGGGTCTAGGCATGAACCTTGATCGTGGGACCTGATATCATTGGGGGAAGTGGTTGAGATGAGATTGTGGGGGAGTTGGCCCAGTTGGTAACCAGTGGACTTTACCCCAGTCTTGGCTATCGACAACACCAAAAGCGCCTCATGTTTCACTGGAGTCAGTGATCTGCCTGCTTGCCCATATATATCAGGTCTCGCCTCTCATAACTTTCTCTCTCCCGACTGCTCTTTCCAAGATCATCCGTGCATCGAGGCAACAGCCATCTTGCTCTTCTGACCGAGAAGGCAATCGTCCTCAAAGACCTTGAACTAATATTCTGCTCTACCTGGCAGCCCCGTCCTCTTCTCGCGCTCATACAACCCATGGCACTGGGAACCATCCTGCCAGTGCTGGGCGGCCTGCTCGTTGCCCTGCTACTCTACGCATTTCTCTTCATCGGACGCCGCGAAAAGGGTCTGCCACCTGGTATGTGGATATGCATCGTGATGCCGAGTTACTGCGAGTGGTGTGTACTCATCGGTGTGTGCCATCATGAATAGGTCCCCCCACTGCCCCGATCATTGGAAATATTCATCAAATCCCTACCAAGGGTTCTTACCTGACGTTCACTGAATGGTCCAAGGTATGTACACGCTCACCGCTCTGAGGTGTGCCCTACTGGGGACTAAAATACTGACAAACTTGCACAGAAATATGGCGGCATCTTCTCCCTCAAGCTCGGCCCTGGAACCGCCATTGTTTTCACTTCTCGCCACCTGGTGAAGCAGCTGATTGACAAGAAGTCAAACATCTACAGCGACCGGCCCCACAGCTATGTTTCGCACAATCTCATTACAGGCGGCGACCATGTCCTGATTGCACACTATGGCAAAACGTGGCAAAAATACAGAAAAGCGATTCATCAGCACTTCATGGAGTCTATCGTGATGAGGGACCATTTACCCTTGCAGCAAGCCGAAGCAAGTCAGTTGTTGAAAGATTTCCTCGAGCGACCGGATCAGCACATGGACCATCCGAAGCGGTATACCAACAGCATCGCATGCGCCACCATCTGGGGCGTGAGATCCCCTACAGTGGACACTCCACACATGAAACGCCTCTACGAACTCATGGAGAATTGGTCGGTGGTCATGGAACCGGGCAACACCCCTCCCGTCGATATCTTCCCTTTTCTACACTACGTTCCCGAACAGCTTTTTGGGAACTGGCGCTCGCGAGCCAAAGACGTTGGAAATGCGATGAACAATCTGTATAATGATATGTTGACCGGGCTCGAAAAGCGCAGAGAAGCCGTGGGCAGCAAGTATTCATTTATGGACAGAGTCCTTGACCAGAAAGAAAAGCTTGAACTGAACCGACATCAGCTCTATTTCCTGGGCGGCACAATGATGGAGGGCGCAAGTGATACCTCTTCAAGCATCATCATCGCGGCCATACAGGCCTTCACCAAGTGGCCTGAAGTCATGAGGAAAGCGCAGCATGAAATTGACAGTGTCATGGGCGAAGACCGATCTCCTGTGTGGGCTGACTATGCAAAGCTACCGTATGTAGCTGCAACGGTGAAAGAAGCGATGAGATGGAGGTGAGATTTTCTTGCAAGCGCCTGGATGGTGGCGTTCAAGATTCCTTACCCTGACATAGCTGGTTGGTGCTAACGACGAGTCCAGGCCGGTGGTTCCGTTGGCATTTCCACATGCTGTAGACGAAGGTATGAGGTTCGCTGTGAACAGGTAGAATCATCCATGACTAACCCATTCGGTGCTTTAGACGACTGGGTCGATGGGTACAAAATCCCAAAGGGCTCTGTGATCTTCATCAATGCATGGGGAATGCACCACGACGAGAAGAGATTCCCAAACCCGGACAAATTCGATCCAGATCATTACAAGGGGGTCACGGCGCTTGCTTCGGAACTCGCCCAAGCCTCCAACCCTGACGACAGGGACCATTATGGCTATGGCTCCGGCAGACGACTTTGTCCCGGCATTCATCTCGCGGAGAGGAATTTGTTCCTTGCCATTGCAAAGCTGCTGTGGGCTTTTGAATTTGCGCCTGGAAAAGACAACGATGGAAAACCGATCATGCCGGACACCGATCCGACTACGGGATATAGTGAGGGTTTCTTGGTGTGTGCAAAGCCCTACACTCTGGAGGTCAAGGTGAGATCTGAGGCAAGACGGGAGACTATCCTGAGGGAGTATCAAGAGGCCAAACGGGATGTGTTTTCAGCGTTCGAAAACTAAGGTTAGTGGAAAAAGGAATAGGAAGTACCTGCAAGGTCTCAAAGCATTCGATAATGGCCATGACGACCGAATGAGATATTGAAGGGTGGTTTCGTTGGTAAAAGATATTAAACATTCTGCAATAGTCTTAGCTGATATTCCGCAAACAACAGGGGGAGGGAACATCATACCTTTTTGGCTTCAGCCCATTTCCATCCTCGATGTACCTGATACCGGAAGTAGAAGAACCTGAAAAGTGACCACATCGCCTCTCGACTGTTCGCTTCTGTAAAAGCTCCAATCGCAGCTCGGTTGACCGGATTTTGGCTCTAAGGCCTTGACAACACTGCTCTCGTATGTTGAACTGTATTCCAACTCCAACGGAGTGTCTCTTCGATAATACAATTCCCGCAAATTGGTGAGACCCCTTCCAAACCGAAAAGATTCGCTGGAATATGACGAGCTAGAAAGGTTATGGTTGGTTGGATTTCAGAGAATGTGGGATTAGGTGTTGCAGTGAGAACCGTGTCATCGCAACGTGAGACGCAGCTGACAAGAGACGCACGCCTCTACAGGGCCAATCCAGTTTGACGATTCTTGGTTCCGTGACAAGCTAGCTCAAGTAATAAGCGCTCCTTAAGTCAACAAATCGGCAACGTTCATGGGCATCTCATCAATCTGCGTGGAATAGTAAAGCTCGATATCCCGCAGAATGCGGACGTCTTCACTAGTGACGAAGTTGATCGCCACGCCCTTGCGACCGAATCTCCCGCTACGCCCGATTCTGTGGATGTAATTCTCACGATTGCTGGGCAGGTCGTAGTTGATGACAAGACTGACTTGCTGGACGTCGATCCCACGAGCCCAAACGTCGGTACTGATGAGGACTCGACTGTTGCCCTGTCTAAAGTCGGACATGATGCTATCACGTTCTTTTTGTGGCATCTCGCCGTGCATGCTGCTGACTGTAAAGTTTGCCTCGCGCATCTTATCGGTAAGCCAATCGACCTTGCGACGAGTGTTGCAGAAAATCACTGCCTGTGTGATGGTAAGCGTGTCGTAGAGGTCGCACAATGTGTCAAATTTCCATTCCTCTTTCTCCACAGCAATGAAATATTGCTTGAGGCCTTCGAGCGTAAGCTCATCACGTTTAACCAGGATGCGGACGGGATCGGTCATGAATTTCGTGGTCATGTCTAAGACATCGTAGGGAAGGGTCGCAGAGACGACCACAACTTGCGTGGCAGGAGGGAGATATCGGTAGACGTCGTAAATCTGTTCTCTGAAACCGCGATTGAGCAGTTCATCTGCTTCGTCCAGGACCAGCATTTTGATGTGTCGTGTGCGGAGATTCCTTCTTCGAATCATGTCTGCCACTCGCCCGGGCGTACCCGACACCACATGTTGTCCATAATCCAGTTTTCTAATGTCTTCACCCACGTTTGTGCCGCCGATACAGGCGTGACATTGTACATTCATGTAGTCTCCAAGGGCCATAATGACGCTTTGGATCTGGGTCGCTAGTTCGCGGGTCGGGGACAAGACTAGAGCTGAGATTTTGTTAGCCAGGTCGTGTATGCCCGGGATCCCATCCATACCTTGTGTCTCACGGACGGAAGTCTCGATGATTTGAAGAATGCTGATGGCAAAGGTCGCGGTTTTGCCTGTGCCTGACTGCGCCTGCGCAATGGTGTCTCTTCCTTTGCAGATCTGCACGATCGCTCGAGACTGAACTGCTGAGGGCGATTCATAGCCGTACGCATAAATTCCACGGAGGAGGTTTTCCTTGAGGTGCATGTCCTCAAAGGTTGGGGCGACTGTCACTTCTTTCGAAGTTGAGAACTCCATGCGCTCTGGTTTGCCCATGTCAGTCGCCAGCCTGATCGCACTGTTCGACAGGAGACGTCGCACTCACCGTCTGCATTTCTGTCGATACCTTCGGCCATTTTGATACGTGCTATGATACAAATTTGGATGATGTGCAAGTGATGTTATTGTAGTGTTCTTGGTTCATTCATTCCCTCAGGTGGCGGGAAGAGATGAAATTCAAGTAATAAGTTTCCCTTGGCAGCCTCGTCGAGCAACCAATCACCGGGTCCGCGCATTACTCGCCATGCTTTGCCGCCACCACTCGTACAATATTCCCTGCATGGTATACAAGTTATAGACTGTCAGACTATATGCCCCTGCATGCTTCGATTGTGGGTAGTTAGATTCCCCCCAATTTTGCTCATGATGCCGAGGACTCCCGGTCTGCTTTTGCTGAGATGGCATATGGAGTCACGTCATCGGTTCTCTCTCTCTTCGCATTGACACCATCACACGTCCTCCTCATAATGCTGCCTCAGTCTTGCCAACCCTCCGTTGTAGCCGTAGGGTGCTTCATCCAGGATCCCATGCTTCTTGATTTCGTGACTTCTCCTTCCTTGCTCATCGTGTATGTGCTGGAGGAGCTCCGGTCACTCCGTAACAGTCATCAATGCACTGTGACGATGTAGAATTGGTTGTCAGTGACGTTCTATATCCTGCCAGTTAGGAGTGGATCGCTCCGGGGCACTTCAATCGGTCCCGAGGGGTTAGATACCTGGCGGATAATGAATCCAACTGACGAAGGCGATCACTCGGAAGATGAAACGGAGAGGACTTTGTTCTCGACATTTTTTTGGGATTTGATAAGCCCCGAAGGGCACATGAGCACAGGAGTGCTCAAAAAAGAAAAACAAACAACACTTGTTCTCGTTTCATAAGCCCCGAGGGGCACCGGCAAACCCAGCAAACACCACCGCTACCACCCCCTGCTCCCCCCTTGCCTCCTGCTTCCTCCCCCTTCCTCCCCCTTCCTCCCCTTCCTCCCCTGTTCCCCCCCTTCCCACACCACCAGGACACCCACCGAGACACACTCACAAGAGCGAGGCCACCGCACACACAACTGCCTCAATGCTGCTCGTCTCGAAGCTGCTCGCGAAGAGCGGCGATCTCTAACTCAGCTCTCTCAAGGAGAGCCTCGCTAGAGTCCGCACGCTCCCTTGCAAGAGCAGCATCGATCTGAGCAGCGAGGTACTCAGCTGTGAGGCGGCGGACCTCGTCTTGGAGCTGTCTAAACCCCTCCTCAGCGTCGACGGCGACCTCCCGCGCCTCTGCCAGGGTCGTCCACAGCTGACCGACCGCACCTAGGATCTCGCCCTCTGCAGAGAGGAGACCCGCGCGGGCGCGGACGGCCGCTGGGTTGCCCCTGACGGCGCCAACTGGGAGATCGCCGTCGAGGACGTCGATCTGGACCCGGGCCTCGCTTAAGTGAGCGAGCCCGGCGCGGAGTTGTTCCGCAACCGGGGCGTCAACCTCGTCCAGGTTGACGCGCACCTCATCCTCCTCCTCCTCCTCTTCGCCATCTGAAGACCACATGTCTTCGGGGGCCTGCCATTCCCCGTCCTCTTCAGCCTCCTCTGAGGCGTAGTCGTCGTCGTCGTTGTCGCCCTCTTCTGCACCGGACGAGTTTGAGAGATCTTCAGTAGAGGATGAGCTCAGATGAGCTTGAGACTGTGACGTTTGTAGAGTCTGAGTGGTGGCTGGGTCTTGGTCAACTTGAGACTGTGACGCTGGGAGATCTTGAGTAATGTGTGTGCCCTGATGAACTTGAGTCTGTGACGTTGGAAGAGTATGGGTGGTGTTGGTAGAGTCCTGATCAACTTGTGACTGTGGAGTTGTAAGAACTTGTGCAGAGGATGAGTTCAGATCAACTTGGGCCTGTGACGACGACGACGACGACGATGATGATGGAAGATCTTGCGTAATGGATGAGTCTTGGTCAACTTGTGACAGTGGTGTTGGAAGAGTCTGAGTGGTGGATGAATTTGGCGCAGGTCGAAATGTGAGCGAATTTGGAAGGCCGCGTCTAAGATTTTCTGCCAGACCTGCAATGTTTCCAAAACCCCAACCTAGCTCATCAGACCAAACAAGTACGGTGCCAGTGACTGGCGTATTTGCTGGGATTGGTAGAGGATTTGGCTGATCTTGTGCTGAGTTTGCTGTCACATCGTGAATGTGGGCAAAACTCCACCCAGGTTCATCAGTCCAGAATGTTGCTGCAGTAGCAGCCTGGTTGTTGACTGGATCAGTGACCTGGTGATCAGATTCAAGCGAGTCGTCCTCTGATGCTGTGGTTGCAAGGTTGGGTTCACTCTCAGGAGAGTCTGTGGTCTGAGGATAGTTGACTAGTGAATTCAAGTTTGTGGTCCCATGAACTCGACGAAGACCAGGTGACGTTTCGGTGAGAGATGTTGGAGTAGGTGTGGTGGTGTTGACAGATTCAGTTGCAAGAAGATCAACTTCTGCACCAGAAGATGAGCTGGGCAGACCAGAGCTCAGGTCAGTGTCTCCAGGTAAGAGAAATCCAACGCTCTGACGACGATGTCGCCGTTCAGAGGAAGATGAAGGAGAATCAGGTGTTGAGCCTATATATATTTATTGTTAGGCAATGTTACAAGATAGAAGTTGACGAGAAGATCGTGTGGGTGTGAACTTACCTGCGGATTTGTCTGAAGAAGTCATTTTGACCAGCGCTGACGACGACGTAATCGGAGAAGTTGTTGGGGTACTGTTAGGGTCTGTTTGTATTGGTCGAGTGACGGTATTGTAAGTTTAGAAGTGCTGCACCGACGAACTTGATGGAGCGCGACGATTTGAAATAACGATGGAGAAAGAAAGAACGAGGGGAAGTGAGAGGGAGAAGTGTCGACAGGTTTTGTTGTTTTTTTTCAACCATCTTTCTGTCGCACCCTCTATACACCAAAAACAACGCTAGGCGACTAACTGTGCAGACATTAGTGAGAGCTGCCAAGGCGAGACAGCTGAGATTGTGAGGCTCTGGGTGCAATGTGGTCTTGTCTGGTCGTTGTAGAATGTATGGAGCGTATTGGAAGCATGTTGTATGGACAAGGCTGAAGCAAAAGCGTATCGATCTTACCGGATCAAGCCCGCTGCAGGTCATCGTCTTATTGAAAAATCCCCGTCGTGACAAATCT